TGAAGCAATCCTGCTGGATGGTCGGCCAGTAATATCCCTGCAAGATGATTTTCCGGGCCAAAGTACGAGGACCCTGGTGGCTGGAACAGATGCCTTCATGTATCTCTTCAATGACGGCTGCTGCCAAGCTCGGCGGGAGGCACCTCAAGTACGGTCCGCCGAACGTCTTTTTGTAAAGTTGCCCGTCAACGAGTTCAAAGTTGGGGGCACGTCTCTTTATCCAGGCTGCCCTTCCGGAACTGCCATCATCTTCAGGTTCGGGGAGCGTCCCATCCCTGAGGTAGTCTGCGATCTCCTTCGACCAATTAGGTTCGGCGATGGAGATGGCCTCCACCTGGATGACGTCCGTCGCTGGCGCCGGGAGTGTTTCTTGTCTGACGAAGCCCCTGATGTGCCGGGGGATGTTCGTCGCAGGATCATCGGTCGGGGGGTTGCCTAGCTTGGATAATATGTCGGCCTCGACGTTCTCCACCCGCGACACTTGCTCGATTATCACTTGTTCAAACTGTGCGGCCTGTTCCTCCGCGAGTTCCTTGTAAACCTTCATCCTTTCCTCCCTGGTTTCAGCCGTTCCATTCATCTGGGTCACCACCAGCTGACTGTCCATCCTCACCTTCAGACGAGCTGCGCCGAGTGCCTTCGCACATTTCAGCCCTGCGATCAACGCCTCGTATTCAGCCTCGTTGTTGGTGACTTTGAATTCGAATCTCATGGAGTAGTAGGCCTTGAAACCCTCTGGTGAAGTGATCACTGCTCCTCCGCCACAACCTTTTGCACTCGAGGCCCCATCGGTGTACATCTCCCACCAGTTATTGAAATTATCGTCGCCCTGGGGACCGTCCTCGGTGCGCGCAGTGCATTCGGCGATGAAGTCTGCCAGTGCCTGTCCCTTGATCGTCGGCCTCGGCTTGAACTCTACGTTGTACTGGCCGATCATCAGGGACCATTTGGTTATCCTCCCGCTGGCCATGGGGTTCCGGAGGATCGTAACGAGAGGTTGTGTCGTGTATACAGTCACTGGGTGTGCCTGGAAGTACGGTGCCAGGCGTTTGATGGATGCTATCAAGGCGAGGACCGTCTTCTCCATCAGCGTGTATCTGGTCTCCGGACCGTTCAGCGCCTTGCTCACAAAATAGATTGGCCGCTGAACGCCCCCTGCCTCCTTGAGTAGCACAGCGCTCACAGCCAAGTCCGCCACCGCCAGGTACATGTACAGCTGCTCTCCGGGGTCTGCTTTGGTGAGGACGAGTGGAGAGGAGAGGTATACTTTGAAATCTTCGAAGGCAGCCTGGCACTCCGATGTCCATTCAAAAGGATTCGCCTTCTTCATGATCTGGAAGAAGGGAATTGCCTTATCCGCTAGCTTTGACATGAATCGGCTCAGGGCCGCCAATCTCCCGGTGAGGCGCTGTACGTCCTTCAGGTTCTTCGGGGCTTCCATGTCAACTATTGCCTTCACCTTCTCCGGGTTAGGCTCGATCCCCCGCTCACTCATCATGTAGCCGAGGAACTTGCCGCCCGTGACGGCAAAAGCACACTTCTTCGGATTGAGCCTCATGCTAGCCCCCCCCCCCCCATGATGGTGAAGATCCTCTCCATATCCCGGATGTGGTCCTCCTTTTTCTTGCTCTTGATCAGGATGTCGTCCACGTAGGCCTCCATGGTCTTTCCTAGTACGTCTTTGAACAACATCCCAATCATCCTTTGGAAGGTGGCCATGGCGTTCCTCAGGCCGAATGGCATGACCACATAACAGTACACACCGTCCGCCGTGACGAACGCCGTTTTTTCTGCATCATCCGGGTGCATGAACACCTGATGGTAGCCTCTAAATGCGTCCATGAAGCTGAGCAGCTCGCAGCCTGCTGTCTCGTCTACGAGCAGGTCGATCCTTGGCACCGGGTATGGATCCATCGGACAGGCTTTGTTAAGGTCCGAGTAATCGACGCACATCCGCCACGTGTCGCCTTTTGGGGCTAACACCACGTTGGCCAACCACTCCACGTGGATGACCGGCCGGATGTGCTTGATGCTGAGGAGCGTAGCGGCCTCCTTTTTGATGAAATCTCGCCGTTCGGCTGCCATGTATCGCTTCTTCTGCTGTATAGGCCTGGCATCCGGCCGTACGGCGAGTCTGTGGCAGATGAGGTTGGGGTCTATTCCGGGCATGTCCCCCGGCCCTCTGGTAAATAGGATCTTGAATCTCCGGAGGACAGCTATGACCCCCTCCTTGATCTCAGGCTCAAGATCGGCGCCAATGGACACCTTCCTGTCCGAAGGGTCATCCAATTCCACCTCCTCAAGTAGGGCAGCTGGTTCCAGACGAGCATCGAAGTCGGCCCGTCTGGCCCTCTCAGTGATGCTGTTGACCCGGGCTTCTCGCTCTTTGAACCTCCCCATGGCCTTGGTGTAGCAGGCCCTGGCCATGTGCGGGTCCGTGCGGGCAACTCCCACTCCTGTCTCGGTGGGGAACTTGATGCATGAGTGCCGCACGGAGCAGATGGCCTCAAGATCCTCCACGCCGGGCCGGCCTAAAATTGCGTTGTGGGCACACTTCAGGCGGACCACGACGAACGTCATCCGGATGCGGGTAGTGTGAGGTCCATCCCCGATCTCCACGGGGAGGCCGATGGTGCCTTCCGCATCGATGCAGTCCCCTGTGAAGCCCGAGAGAGGGGTGCGCAGGGGGGGTCAGCTCATCCTTCCTCAGCTTCATCCCCTCGAACGCCTCCCAGTAGAGGACGTTCACACTGCTCCCAGTGTCAACTAGGACCCGTCGGACGATCGCATTGTTGATGTCCATGTTGATCACCAACTCGTCCCTGTGTGGGGCCGGCGACATCGGTAGGTCGGCCGGTCCAAAGGTGATGGCCTCCACCCTGTTCTTCTTAGTGGGGGGAGCTGATATGGAGCCCACATAGAGGGACCTCTCAAACTTCTTCCGCTCCGCAGGCGTGTCCCCAGTCTCAGCGCCCCCGAAGATCATCTTGATCTCCAACTTCTTCTTCCCGCCGCTCGGGCCGAGGGACCCCTCCGGACGTTTATCAGCACTTCGATAGTCTACGTCCTTCGGTTTCGCCTCACGCCGATCGTCGCGGCGCCATGCTCGCGACCTCGGATTCGGCTGCCTCGGGCTATTCTTCTTCAGTAGTTGGGTAAACTCGCCCAGGTAGCCTTGCCGGATCAGCTCGTCGATGGCCATTCTCAGCTGCTTGCAGTTGTCGGTGAGGTGGGCGACCCTCTGGTGGTATTCGCAATATGCGGTTTCATCAAGACCCATAAGCGCCTTCTTGTCTTGGGGCTCCCTTAGGATGCCCTTATCTTTGATGGCGTCGAAAATCTGGCCGACGGGGTAAGCCAGAGGGGCGTGGTACTCGTCCGGACGTATGCGGCCGGCCTCCGGATGAGCCTTCCACGGAACTATGCCGTCGTCCGTCTTCTTCTTTTTGTTTGGGGGGGGGGGGGGTGGTCCGCCTCCGGGGCCGAGCCTATCCGCCAATTTTCGGGAAGGGGCTGCAGGCGCGCCGTCCCTCAATCTGATCTCCTCCTCAATGGCGGCATACTTCTGCGCCCGAGCCAGCACCTCGGTGTAGCTGGTGCTGGGGTTCCTCCGAAGGTCCCGGTATAGGTCCCCCGTTGCCAGAGCACTGGTGAACATGTTTACCCCCAGCCGCTCGTCCAGGTCATCCACCTGGAGTACTTCGTCTCTCCATCTGACCAGGAATTGGGCCAGAGGTTCGTCTTTCCCCTGCTTCACACTCGTGAGCGATGTGAAGCTCTTCTTGGGGGTGGTGCTAGCAGCGAACTGTGCCATGAACTGCTGGGACAGCTGTTCGTAGTTATCAATGGATCCGGGCCTCAGCTGCCCGAACCACTCTTGAGCTGGGCCCCTCAGGGTGCTGAAGAAGAGCCGGCAGATGGCCTCATCAGACGTTCCCAGCATGGAAAGGTTCCCCTGGAAGCTGATCAAGTGAGCCTTGGGATCTCCGGTCCCGTTGTATACTATCCCTTGGGGGGGCCTGCAGTCCCGCGGGATCTCTGCATTCATGACCCTCGGGGTAAATGGTGAGGTGAGGGAGAAGCGCGGCGTAGCTGGGGTGGCCTCCGCCCGTCTGTCTATCTCGGCTATTCGCCGTTCCATTGCCTCTAGCCGGGCCTCCTGTGCGGCCCTTCCGGGGGACACAGGAGGGGCGGCCTCGAGCGCAACATTCCTTCGAGGGGCAACCGCGTCGGGTTGCCTCCGGGTGATATGGGCACCATGCCTTTGGAAACTTCGTCCAATATTACTGGCAGCGGGGGTGATGGTGGTGCCCTGATGTTCTGAGGGAACGTCCGGCGTACGCCCCCGATGATCGTCCTGCCATCCATATCGAGGGGTGCTGGCGCCGGTGTGCCCCCCAGCTCCGTGGGAGGACGGATTTTGACCCAACCTCATGTGGATGGGCGTCCGACGTCCGGCAGATTCCGTTGTCTCATCCAGGGACTGCATGCGGTGGATGGGTGATATGGGCGTCCAGATGGTGTTAGCTGAGTACACCTCTTCGTTCGCCTCCTGTTCGTCCGCCATTCGGCGCATCGTTTCCGTCAGCTCCCTCATGAGTCGAGGGTCGCGCCTGGCCTCATGGGGGATGAGGTTTGTGAGGCCACCTTCTCCCCCAGTTGTCCCCAATGTCTCGGAACGTTCCGTGGTTTGCCCGCGGTTGCTTCGTCCGCGGGACAGCTGCTCGGAGAGGTCACGTTGGCGGTTGTTTCTTGTCATCGTGCTTGCTGTGGGTAGATTTAGTAGCTGTTTGGGAGAGTTTTTTGGAAACTTTTAGTTCAGTTTCCCACAGACGGCGCCAGTGTTGAGGTTTATTCCTTCAACCCCCGGGTCCAACACGTAAGCCCAAGGATTTCGAGTGGAGTATGTGAGTGAACTAGCCCAACAAGCAGATGATATGGATTAGAGAGAACAAGAAAGTAGCAGGTAAGTGATTAGGTATTATTATCTCTTAATAACTCCCTAATACAATACTCTTGCTAAGGCTCCGTCGGCCGTTCGTCTTACTAGGCAGTCAGAAGTGCTGCGAGTAAGAATGCTATATCTAGAGTGCTAAGATTAGAAAGTTGCCAACCTTTTACAATGAAATAAATGCTTCTATTTATACCCGCCAATGGGCAGGTGGCTATGCTGTCGTGGAAGCCTGTGGACCGCTGGTGTCCCAACCACCAAATCTTCAGCATTAAATGCACTTCCCGCCAGAATCTAGGTTTCCCGCCTAAATAGTGGGGACGTTCGTCCTCCCGGGAAGCGAGCTAGATCGCTCCAAGTGATCCTCAAGAAGTATCGGCCGTTCGTCTCCTGGCCGTTCTCACCATGTGGACTGGATTTCCTCCGATAATCATAGGCTTGCTCTGGGGACGTTCGTCGTCATCCCTGATGGCCCGTGGTCCTGCTCCTTGTCCCTGCATAGACGTTCTTCGCCATGGGCCGTTGAACCTGAACCCCCGAATTACAGACGTTCGTCCCTTCCCAAGGGATATGGGCCTGCGGCCAGCCTGGTGTTCTAACTGGACGTGCGTCCGGTAAAAAGGGGTTAATGGGCCGGACCTCGGCTTGGGCCATTAACCCAACACCGAGTTTTGAGGATACACGCCCGATCCTTGGGTACTCCACCTGTTGGGATATATTATCCCGGCCTATTACTGTTCATGAGTCCAAGGCTTTACGTAGTACGGAGCCCGAGCAGCTAGGCCCATTTCGGCCCATCCGGCCCACTGTAGCCATTTGGGCCCACTCCGGCCCATGCGGCCCATTAGGGTGGAGAGCATCCCCTTCCCCTATTCTCTATAAATATAGGAGTTTCCCTCCATATTATGGATCCCTTTTTTTAGCTTCTTCTTCTTCCTTTTAGACTTGGCTCAATACTCCATTAATGGGAGCTTGTACAATGTAATTGTGAGGAGAGTCCTAATGAGAATGAGAGGGCTTGGACATTAGCCTAAAAAGTCCCGTGGTTTTCTCCCTTTCCGGGTTTCCACGTAAAAATAGCTTGTTCATACACATTTATACATATATTTACTATATCGTGTTGGATTAAACTCAACACTGGCGCCGTCTGTGGGAATCTGTCCAAAAAGATTCAACGTGTTCTTCAGTTCCGACCACAAACATGAGACGAGAACTGACTTTCGACAAAAAATTGATACGAAAAAGCTACTGATTTCAGCAAAAACAAAAGAAAAAATTGATTCTGAGGAAGGGAAGAAGCGGAGAAGCCAGGAAATCTGGGAATCCCAAATCTGGACTTTCTTTCCAGATCTGTTTTGAAGTCGCCGGAGCCACCGCCCCCGTCGGCACGGAACTTCCGAGGTTTCGACCGGCACCGGATGGAACTTGGTGCCGCGTTACAGTTCTTGGCGTCCCGTTTGTATACGAAAACCTTGTCTGTGACGCCGTAGCTCTTCGCCCTGAGCCGCCGCGCCGCCGCCCGACATCCGCCATCAGCCGCTGGTCGCTCGTCCACCTGCTCGGAGGGAGTGAATGTGGAGCTCGATAAATCTCTTAACGAAACCGCGCCCTCTGGCCGGCCTTGTTCTGCCGCGACCACCGTCTCCGCCGGTGGAAGGTGGCCGGCACGTGCGGCCCGCCTCTGGTTCGATGGGAGGGTTTCCACATGCCTTTCCTAAAAGATGTACTCCACAAAAGGAGTTGGTCTAGAGCAGTCCACGTCTACAAGTTAAGGCCAAGCAATGAGGGCCAATTTCCTTTGGAGGAATTTGACCGGGTCAAATTTGGGGATTCCATTGAGCCGAAGCCCTCGTGGTTTGGACGTGTGCAGACCTTCTAACTTAAAGGTGTTTGAACAATTGGAGTCTTTTGCTCTTGGGTATATCGTGGGGAGTTTTGACTAAGTCAAGCAAAAAGGGAATCTAAATAATTTCGGGGATCCCTAGCTGGCCGAGCGTCCCTTCCAGAAGCTAAGTACTCCTTGCTTATGCTTTTTAGTTTCCGCATCTATACTAGTATATTGTTATTAGTTTAATTATTTTATCACCATTATTTATTAGGGATTAGAATCTCCCAAAATTAAATAATGCCGAGCGACGCTCCTGTGATAATTAGTTTTCACCATCATTTTAATTAATGATTGGTTGTTGTGGGCCAGTCGGCCCGCTCCGGGTCGGCTTTAATTAGCGAACGGAGCGTATCTGAATGACTTATGGTAGGATAATACTATTATTACTACCCGTATATCACTATTATTTATTAGGGATAAAATGTCCCGAATTAAATAATGTGGAGCGAAGCTCTAGTGATGGTTGGTTCAGCCAACATTTTATTGAATGTTTAATTTCTTGTGGGCCTGTTGGCCCACCCTCGATCAGCTTGATTAAGTGATCCGAGCGTCTCCAGAAAGGCGATGCCCCGACGACGCGTTTGAATTTGAGGGTTGCGCATTAGTCCGCACGGCACCAAGTGCCCGAGCGACGATCGTACCCTAGTACCATCTGCGCCACTAGGCGAAGTGACTGCGCCAAACGCGGCCTGTGGGGCCCGAGGGCACCAAAGTGCTCAACCTCATTTTTTCGAGGGTAGTGCGACCAGCTTGGGTCTGAGTTTGAAAACTCACGGACCGGTGAATATTTCTATGTGACGTTCGGCGGGCTGCTAATTGGCCCCGCCGCGAGCTGCTACGTCCATTAACCCCGCACGATGAGCCGGGCAGAGGGTCACGATGACCCATAGGCCGGTAATCGTGGGTGTTAGAGGGAAGCCGCGATGACCCATGCAGATGGTTATGTGTGCATATTTATTGTCGGGCCGTGCGGCCCGTTACCATGCTTATTGCGCAGCCGAAGCCGCTCGACGCGCTTGAGCGAAATGATTAGAAGACGCTCGGCCCGAGTCTTGAAGACGTGCAGGGCCGGCTAAAGAGGAGACCATCACGGCTGAGGACCGTGAGACGAGCATCTCCACCTAGAGGCCGAGGGCCTAGAGGAGACCACCACGGTTGAGAACCGTGGGACGGGCATCTCCACCCCAGAGACCGATGGCCTAGGGAGAACACCTAGAGGCCGAGGATCTAGAGGCGAATGCCATGACAGAGAACCGTGAGACGGTCATCCATCATCCAGAGGCCGAGGGCCAAGAGGAAACCATCACGGCTGAGAGCCGTGATACGAGCATCTCCACCCTAGGAGCCGGTGGCCTAGAGGAGACCACTACGACCGAGGGTCGTGGGACCATCCTTACATCACGACCGACCCCACGGTACGGCATGTTTATCACCAGAAGACCGGTATCATCCCCGCGCTGCGCGGATGAGAGCTGTTGCACGGATACACTTGATCGGCTTCTCATTGCCGACATCATTATATCATGACCGGCCTCTCGGCACGGCGTGTTTATTCTTTTGAAGACCGACCTCGTCCCCGCACTGCGCGGATGAGGACCGTTGCTTGATCTTGGTCGGCCTCTCATTGCTGACATCGTTACATCACGACCGGCTTCCCGGCCCGGCGTGCTTATCATATTTGAAGATCGGCCTCGTCCCCGCCCCTCGCGGATGAGGACCGTTGCTTGCCTCTTTCTGATCGGCCCCCAGGCCGATACTTTTACGTGGCTACCGACCCCCCTGATACGGTGCCATTATCATACTTGAAGACCGGCCTCGTCCCCGCACTGCGCGGATGAGGACCGTTGCTTGATTTCAGATCGGCCCCTCATTGCCGACACTATTATATCACGACCGGCCTCCCGGCTCGGCGTGCTTTCCATATTTGAAGATCGGCCTCGTCCCCGCCCTCGCGGACGAGGGCCGTTGCTTGATTTTCTCAGATCGGCCGCTCATTGCCGGCGCCATTATACCACGACCGGCCTCCCGGCTCGGCGTGCTTTCCATATCTGAAGACCGACCTTGTCCCCGCCCCTCGCGGACGAGGACCATTGCTTGATTCTTTCAGGTCGGCCCCTCACTGCCGACACTATCATGTTATGTTCGGCCTCTCGGCACGACATATTTATCTTTTGAAGACCGGTTTCATCCCCGCGCTGCGTGGATGAGAGCCGTTGCTCGGATATATCGGCCTGATTGGACACTATTGTCATCTCCATTATCAGGACCGACTGCTCAGCGACATTATGATCATTGTATATCGGCTCCCAATGCCGACCTTCTTGAGTTAGCGATCGGGCTCACCCCTCCCTTCATGAGGGTGACCATCGCCTTCGCATGACATTATGTGTGACATCACTTGTGGTTATTCTTGGAACCGACGAACGTATTTTCCTCCCTCAGAAAAAAAAAAAAAAAAAAAAAAAAAAAAAAAGATGGGGAGAAGGGGAGACGAGATCCTATGAGAGAGGGAGTCTTGACGAGGTATGCCTGATCTTCCTTCGCCGCGTATGACGAACGTCTCCCGACGCGGAGGCTAGTAGGAACGTGGGGGGGGGGCTAGACGTACCAACGGGAACCTCGCAAGATAAACCAGTTCCTCCCATGACCCGTGGTTCGATGAACACCTTCTGCTAAAGCAGAAGGCTAGTAGGGCCACGAGCATGGGACGACGAAGCAGGGAATCCCGACGTGGATAAACCAGTGACCTCCTTGCGATCGTTGGATGACCGAACGTCTTCTTCGAAGTAAGAAGATTAGTAGGACCACGACAGGGACGAACGAAGAATAGGGAATCCCGACGCGGATAAACCTGTTCCTCCTTGCGATCGTGGGATGACCAAACGTCTTCTTCGAAGTAAGAAGATTAGTAGGACCACGACAGGGACGAACGAAGAATAGGGAATCCCGACGTGGATAAACCTGTTTCTTCTCATAGTTGGGATGACGAACGTCTCCTGCGAAACCAGGAGACCAGTACTCACGAGACTTGGGAAGAACGAAGAACCGAGTTCTTTACCGGAGTCTGTTGTGTGCCGAGTGTACACCGCTTAGCGGTCCATACATAGGACCACGGATACGGTAGACGAACGAAGACCAGCTCCATGGATCAGACACGATGGACCAGTTCTTTACCGGAGTCTGTTGTGTGCCGAGTGTACACCGCTTAGCGGTCCATACATAGGACCACGGATACGGTAGACGAACGAAGACCAGCTCCATGGATCAGACACGATGGACCAGTTCTTTACCGGAGTCTGTGCGTGCCGAGTGTACACCGCTTAGCTGTCTGTACATAGGACCACGGATACGGTAGACGAACGAAGACCAGCTCCATGGATCAGACACGATGGACCAGTTCTTTACCGGAGTCTGTGCGTGCCGAGTGTACACTGCTTAGCGGTCCGTACATAGGACCACGGATACGGTAGACGAACGAAGACTAGCTCCTCAGGTCAGATAGGAGGGACATCACCCATATTTATTTCAGGCTCACCATTCCTTCCCGGATGGAGTCCTGGCAGACGATCGGCTTCTCACAGCCAATCAGGAGAGAGACTTGACACATCACCAGCACGGCCGAGGGCCGCGAGACGATTATCACTCACCGACAGGCCGAGGGCCATGAGATGATCATCACTATTTTTCTGTATCACGATCGGCCCGATAGCGCCATCGTGTCCAGATTCACGGTTCGGCTCGCCCATCCCCTTCCAGGATGGCGACGACCGTCTTATGCAGTACGATCGGCCCCTCAGCGCTATCGTACCCAGCTCACGTTCAGCTCGTCCATCCCTTCCAGGATGGCGACGACCGTCTTATGCAGTACGATCGGCCCCTCAGCGCCATCGTACCCAGCTCACGTTCAGCTCATCCATCCCCCCAGGATGGCGACGAACGTCTTATGCACCACGATCGGCCCCTCAGCGCCATCGTGTCCAGGTTCACGGTTCGGCTCGCCCATTCCCTTCCAGGATGGCGACGACCGTCTTATGCAGTACGATCGGCCCCTCAGCGCCATCGTACCCAGCTCGCGTTCAGCTCGTCCATCCCTTCCAGGGTGGCGACGAACGTCTTATGCACCACGATCGGCCCCTCAGCGCCATCGTGTCCAGGTTCACGGTTCGGCTCGCCCATTCCCTTCCAGGATGGCGACGACCGTCTTATGCAGTACGATCGGCCCCTCAGCGCCATCGTACCCAGCTCGCGTTCAGCTCGTCCATCCCTTCCAGGGTGGCGACGAACGTCTTGTGCATCACGATCGGCCCCCTCAGCGCCATCGTGTCCGGACTCACGGTTCGGCTCGCCCATTCCCTCCAGGATGGCGACGACCGTCTTATGCACCACGACCGGCCCCTCAGCGCCATCGTGTCCTGATTCACGGTTCGGATCGCCCATTCCCTCCAGGATGGCGACGACCGTCTTATGCATCACGATCGGCCCCTCAGCGCCATCGTGTCCAGATTCACGGTTCGGCTCGCCCATTCCCTCCAGGATGGCGACGACCGTCTTATGCAGTATGATCGGCCCCTCAGCGCCATCATACCCAGTTCACGGTTCGGCTCGCCCATTCCCTCCAGGATGGCGACGACCGTCTTATGCCGTACGATCGGCCCCTCAGCGCCATCGTACCCAGCTCACGTTCAGCTCGTCCATCCCTCCAGGGTGGCGACGAACGTCTTATGCATCACGATCGGCCCCTCAGCGCCATCGTACCCAGTTCACGGTTCGAATCGCCCATTCCCTCCAGGATGGCGATGACCGTCTTATGCAGTACGATCGGCCCCTCAGCGCCATCGTACCCAGTTCACGGTTCAGATCGCCCATTCCCTCTAGGATGGCGACGACCGTCTTATGCAGTACGATCGGCCCCTCAGCGCCATCGTACCCAGTTCACGGTTCAGATCGCCCATTCCCTCTAGGATGGCGACGACCGTCTTATGCAGTACGATCGGCCCCTCAGCGCCATCGTACCCAGTTCACGGTTCAGATCGCCCATTCCCTCTAGGATGGCGACGACCGTCTTATGCAGTACGATCGGCCTCTCAGCGCCATCGTACCCAGCCCATTTTCGGCTCGCCCATTCCCTCCAGGATGGCGACGACCGTCTTATGCACCACGACCGGCCCCTCAGCGCCATCGTGTCCTGATTCACGGTTCGGATCGCCCATTCCCTCCAGGATGGCGACGACCGTCTTATGCAGTACGATCGGCCCCTCAGCGCCATCGTACCCATCTCACCGTTCAGCTCGTCCATCCCCTCCAGGGTGGCGACGAACGTCTTATGCATCACGATCGGCCCCTCAGCGCCATCGTGTCCTGATTCACGGTTCGGATCGTCCATCCCTTCCAGGGTGGCGACGAACGTCTATGCAGTGCGATCGGCCCCTCAGCGCCATCGTACCTGGCTTCACAGTTCGGGTCGCGCATCTCTTCCAGGATGGCGACGAACGTCTCATATGCAGCACGATCAGCGCCCCAGCGCCATCGTGTCTGGCTCGTGTTCGGCTCGCCCATCCCTTCCAAGATGGCGACGAACATCTCTTATGCAGCATGATTGGCCCCTCGACGGCATCATGTCTAGTCCACCTTCGGCTCCGCCCATGCCATCTCGGATGGGGGACCCGTCTTATGCAGCATGATTGGCCCCTCGACGGCATCATGTCTAGTCCACCTTCGGCTCCGCCCATGACCGTCTCGGATGGGGGACCCGTCTTATGCAGCACATCTGCTTCTCGGCGCTGACATGCCCGGGTTATCGATGAGAGCCTCCGCTTTCTATCACATCTCACATTCCTTCTCTCATACATTGCACCCATACATTACATACATTACATGCATACATACACTCATGCATCATACCTCATACATTCATACATACACACGTGCATCATGTTTGACAGTACCGCGACGTCGGTTTATAGATGATGGACCTCTAAGCTTCTCCGATTGGAAAGCTCGAGTCAGAGTTCTTTACTCCCGCCTGATGCATTCAGGGGGAGTGTGCCCGTGGAGGAGCACCCTTCGCCCGACCCTGTCGGGAAGGGGGGTGCCTCACTGGTAGATTACGTTCAGGAGTGCAGACACTCACTCATATATGATGATTATGTGAAGACACAGTTTCCAGCAAGACAGAAGAAGAGCGCAGGCAGAGTATATTTTCTCGAGCAGATTCGCGAGCTCACTACTCAAGAAACTGGGGGACTTGTGTTGGGATATATTATCCCGGCCTATTACTGTTCATGAGTCCAAGGCTTTACGTAGTACGGAGCCCGAGCAGCTAGGCCCATTTCGGCCCATCCGGCCCACTGTAGCCATTTGGGCCCACTCCGGCCCATGCGGCCCATTAGGGTGGAGAGCATCCCCTTCCCCTATTCTCTATAAATATAGGAGTTTCCCTCCATATTATGGATCCCTTTTTTTAGCTTCTTCTTCTTCCTTTTAGACTTGGCTCAATACTCCATTAATGGGAGCTTGTACAATGTAATTGTGAGGAGAGTCCTAATGAGAATGAGAGGGCTTGGACATTAGCCTAAAAAGTCCCGTGGTTTTCTCCCTTTCCGGGTTTCCACGTAAAAATAGCTTGTTCATACACATTTATACATATATTTACTATATCGTGTTGGATTAAACTCAACACCACCCTATAACCGAGTTTTGAGGATACACGCCCGATCCTTGGGTACTCCACCCGACTTATGATCTACCACATATCATCCTAGATAAGGTCTATATCATAATCAATAATCAAGACTAAACCAAGTCTTAAAGACTAAGCATAATCATCCATGCATTTCATGCATTAAAAATCAACGTATAGGCAAAACAGTGCCAAACCGGCGCCAGTTTTGACTTAACCGGCGCCGGTTATCAATTAGATTAATTAAACCGGCCATGCCGACCCATAACCGGCACCGGTTTTGCCTATAACCGGCGCCGGTTACCCCCTGGGTAACCAAGTCAACATTTTCGTTGACTCGCCATTTCAAACCCGATTTGCGTCAAACTTAATCCCAACATGTATTAGGTTATAACCAAGCATTTTATGCCCCTTTTATCCTTTAAAACATCATATATGTTTTTATAAACATTTTCATATCATACTTCATTTATGATATCAATGGGTAATACATATAAGCCTAATCACTTTGGATAATCACATGTTTAAACATCTTTTAAACATCATTATGAACACATATAACATTTACTTAGGTAATCTCATAATTAACCCAAGAGTTATAAGACATTAAGCCGTCCACTCACCTCAAATGAGCGTGATGAAGTTCTACCCTTCTCGGTTGAACTCCGGCCAAACTCCGGCAACTTTGACGAACTCCGGTGATAACTCCGGCGACTCTTTAAACTTCGTGAAAGCTCTTAAATCACCTTTGACAAGTGCCTAACAAGGTTTTATCATCACAAAACCCATATCAATACAAATAACCTTCAAAAGGTTATTTTCCGGCAAACCAGTCTCTTTGGCCTCTAAGTCCGTTCTTGGGCTTAGAGCTACTTTCGACCCCTTGTTCCACACTTATAACCATGTAGAACATTCTTAAGGGTATTTCATATGATATATGAGTCATATGAAATCAAAAGATGGAAGAAAAGTTGTTAAGGAGATTCTCACCTTTGTTCTCAAGGTTTTTCTCTACTTTTGCAACCTTTTTCTTCTTCCTTGAGCCCTTTGCCTTCTTGAGTTCTCTTAGCTATGGAGATGGAAGTTTGCAGAGCTCTCCTCCTTGATTGGGGTAGCTTGGACGCACAAACAAAGAGGGAAGGGGTGAGGAGACTCCTTTTGTCTCAAATGGCAAATAAGTGAGGGGGGGAGGTCCACTTTGGGTCAACTCTCACCCAACCATCACCCTCAGCCTACACACACCTCTCAACCCATGTTATGCAGCTCCCTTTGTCAACCATGAGCTCTCAAAAACGTGGGGTGGCCCCCCACTCATGTGGGAGGTCATCCCATTATGTCCCGAAGTGTACATTCGGCCCCGAAAGTTGTATTTTTCGGACTATTATAAATGTATTTTATTTTATCGGGTCAAATAAAATGTATAGTATGTTACCAATCGTTACGGGCCTTCATAATGAGTATACTTTCCCCAACTCTAATTTGGAAGTCTCCGAAATTCATTTCGGACTGTTATCCGATAAATTATCCAAACCGGTAATTGGGCCTCGTTTGACCAATCGGTCAACCCAATGCCTTTCTTATGGCCCAAAGTGAATGTCCACCACCATATAACTATTATCTATACCAAGATGAATAAAATATGCGGTCTCGGGAATATCGGGTGGTCCCCGCTCCCGGTGTGGGCCCCACGTCCAATTTACTATTCACGCAAAGAATTAACAAAAATTTACAACCTCGTAAATTCATTAATCATTTCATAAAGTTCAATACATAATTTACACAAAAGTAAATATACTTGGGGACGGTGTTACAAAGACTTTTGCCCCGGTTGTCAAGATGACTACCGTTGGCACATTTCTCTCCATTGCTGCCGCACGTCGTTGGTCTCTTCATCATATGGGTGTTCATAACGCCTTTCTTCATGGTGATTTAAATGAAGAGGTGTACATGAAGCTCGTCCTGGTTATTCTTATGCTAGGATGTTTTTACTTGGACTGTAATTTGTTGGACTGATCTGATCTGGGACATATTACAGTCCAAGTAAAAACATCCCTACTCCTAGAATGGTTTATCATTTACGGAAGTCCTTATATGGCCTTCGTCAAGCCACTAGATGCTGGTTTTCCAAGCTTCAGGCTGCTCTTCTCACATATGGTTTTATTCAATCTACTTCTGATTACTCCTTATTTGCTTTGCACAGGGCTACTATACATGTTTACGTCCTCATTTATGTTGGCGATGTAAGGATTATTTACATCATTGTTTTCACATGAAAGATTTGGGTCGGTTAAAATAATTTCTTGGTCTAGAAGTTTCCCAGGGCCCTAATGGTATTTACTTCGTATTTATCTCAACGGAAGTATGCACTCGACGTTATACAAAAGTATGGTCTTCTTGGTGCTCGCCTCGCCGTGACTCCAACTGAACAAAATCATCGATTGGCTCATGCTACTGGATCTCCTTATTCTGACCCAGTGCAATATCATCGTATTGTGGGTTGTTTGATTTATCTTTCTTATACTCGACCTGATCTTGTTTATATTATTCACATTCTTGCCCAGTTTATGCAAACCCCACATGAGGCTCACTGGGAGGCGGTTATGCGAGTTGTTCGCTATCTTAAAGGGACTCCCGATCAGGGGATGCTCTTGCCTATTATTAATGATTTGTCTCTTTCAGCATTCTGCGATTCCGAGTGGGCTGCGTACTGGCTAACTCGGCGTTCACTTACAGGCTATGTAATATTCTTATCTCTTGGAAGACTAAGAAGCAGTTAACGGTTGCACATTCCGCAGCTGAGGCAGAGTATCGCTCCATGGTTGCAGCTCTATGTGAACTTAAATGGTTGTTCGGTTCGCTGTCATTTTTTGGTATGTGTGTTTCTAATCCTATCAGGTTGTTTTGCACTAATCAGGCCGCCATTCTTTTCGCTGGATTCGCTGCTAACCCCGTTTTTCATGAACGAACTAAACACATCGAGGTCGATTGCCATTTTATTGAGGGTGATGTCCGTCGCGGGTTTATTGCACCTTCTCACATTGCTACTAAGGATCAGCCTGCTGATATTCTCACGAAGGCCCTTGGTCGTCCACAGTTCCTTCATCTTCTACGCAAGTTGGGCATTCGAGACCTTCACGCTCCACCTTGAGGGGGCGTATTGAGAATAATTATTTCCTGTCATTATTTAATGAATATGTAAATTATATCAATTCCTATTTTGTAGCTACCATACGATTGTTTAGCTTAGTAGTTAGATATATACGATGAATGATGAATACACGGCTCAGGCTTTATTCCTCAATTACTTTAGCAGCTTCATTTCTTTAATTTGATAAATACTCCGTATATGGTTTGTTTTTATGCTTCTTCTCAAAGTCTTATACGGAGTAGTATTACTCCATCCCTAAATCTATTTCTTTAAAAAAAGATCATGAATGAAGTTCATCACTCCTATATATAGCTAGCGGTACCGATTGCCCGCGCCCCTCCATAACTATCATCATTGAGTGGATGAATTGCATGAAATTGAAAGAAGATTGAAGTTAGCATTGATGTTTTCAAGGGGACAAATCTAAAGAAGCCGTGGATACATTCATAAATAGTCTCATGGAGACAAGCTAATGGTTTTGAAAAGAGGGACCGTAAGATTGCACTTCTAGATATACTTTGGTTAATAGTGTCTTCATCTCATTCGATTTTGATAACTTTTCATTTTTCGTTCTTCCAAAAAAAATTGTTATTTTCCCATTAAAGCTACTAATTTATGATTATGGTCATCTCTTTCTTCTTTGCTCAAACCTCAAATACACAACTTTTATTTTTCTTATTTCTCACATACTTTAAAATTGGCAAAGTCCACCCACTGAAACACAAGTTTTATGATTTGGTAATTTAACTTTGGGCCAATGTATGTTTTTGCTTTCAGACATTTACACTCTAGTGACTGTGTTTTTATGTCTATCTTATGATGCTCTCTTTTATGTCTAATTAAAGAGTGGATGAACACATTGGTATTGCCTTGAGTCTAGAAGAAGGTGTGTGATTTTGAGTCCGACATATTGTTTATTATTATTCTGAGGGAAAATGTGCAAATAGACTCATGTACTAACCAAAAAAAGTCAAATAAGCCCTTATTTAGGAGACTCTGTCCGGTCATCGCCATTTGGGGTGGTTCCCGGTGGAATTTTTTGATGAAATTTTTTGAGCATCTTATTCATCAAGTCTAGTTTATTCATACCAAATTTCATCTAAAACTTCAACCGGGAAGTCATTCAAATGAATTCTTGAAAATAACTGCGCAGTTAGAAGCGCAGTTATCTTCAAGATTCATTTGAATGTCTTCCCAATTGAAGTTTTAGCTGAAATTTGGTATGAGTAAAGTAGACTTGATGAATAAGATGCTCAAAAAATTTCATCAAAAAATTCCACCGGGAACCACCCCAAATGGCGATGACCGGACAGAGTCTCCTAAATAAGGGCTTATTTGACCTTTTTTTGGTTAGTACGTGGGCCTATTTGCACCTTTTCCCTTATTCTGATATCAATATAATCAAATGTCTTTAAAATGAAACTGCCTTCACAAACATTTACAATTGGGAAAGATGTGATTGAAATTATTATACTCCGTATTAAATATTAAATATAGGGAAACAACATGATCTAGAAAATTTGATTCGTTGAAATTCACTTGTTCTTTTTTGTAAACAATACTTACGTAGTACTGACTACTGACTACTGAGTATCTGTATTTAAATAGAACATGCATCTGAATAAAAAGTGAATTCAAAAACATTTACATGACTAACTAGGTACTTAAATCAAAGTCATAAACTACCTAAACAATAATTTAGAGATTAAAAAAACAGTTACGGCATCAATAATAATAATTGGATATGAATAAAACAACGCAAAACCTTATACTCCGTATATCATTTTATACATCAAATGGCAAATGCCCATTATAATTTATGATTGCTAAACAGTTTTCATTAATTGTTAGAATAAAAAATTGGTTAAAGAACTTATGTACAATTGTTAGAAGGGGTGTACATTTTTCGTTAAACCGCCTTTCACATTGGTGAAAAACCCGACCAGCTCCGGCCGGTACGGCAGATACGACCGCCGGCGATCTTCATCTTTTGCCTTGCTTTTCATGTAACGCTCGTGAGCCGATAGCTCCTTTTTGCTCTTACCCTTCCTTGTAACGCTCTTCCCGGCAGGATCGGCGTTGACTTTAGCACCGCCGGTCTTTTTCGCCCACGAGTATAAGTTCGATTTCTTCCCGTCTATCTTCCCGGCGGGAGCACTCGCCGCCGATTGCGCCGAGCTGTTCAGGAACACAAACGCATCTCTGCCGTCGCTGTTGCTCCGGTTCAGCAGATCTTTGAATCTCCAGAATTTGGAGAACCCGGTCGAGTTGCTCTTCTTACAACCGACCGGTCCGGCCACCGCCTCTAGAGTTTCTCCCGACCATTCGCCGGCGCTCCCCGACGCAGACGGCGTCCAATCGTTCGTCTCGACGAACAGATTCTTCACCGGCGGCGGCTTCTCTTTCAATCCTTCCAAATCCGCGTTACCGAGGAGAAGATGCCCATTGAAGATCGGGTAAACCGGGCGGATCTGACCGTTCAGAAACGCATCCTCGGCTGCGATCAGAGAAGCTTCGTCTCCGGCGAAAGAGAATGAAAATTCCTCCTCATCTTCTTCTTCCTCCTCCTCATCTTCCTCCCCATTTCCGTGATCCAATTCCTGTGGACGGGGAATTGCAGGGTAAATCTTCAGCTGAGACGAGAAGCTTCGAGCTAGTTCCGTGGCCGGATCTGGGACAACTTCTATCCCTTTAAGGTGACCGTCTTCTGCAATTACATCCATTTTTTCTGCGATTAGCTTTTACTGATCTTGGTGAATGGGAAAATTGAGGATTGAAAGAAGGGATGAAAATGAAAGAGGTGAGGATTGAGAAATGAAAATGGAGAGAGTTCGAAATAAATGAGGCTTGGTATGGGCCAAATTGGGAATATAATAATTGGAGGATGGTCGTGTGAAGGTGGTCTATTTTGTACGTTCTAGGCTCCTACTTGCTACGAAATTTCAATTTTGAGATATTAAAGTCATTGGATGTGTCACTTCATTTATGAAAAACATTGTTTTCAAACTAATTACCTTAATGAGGCCATTATTTTCATCAAACAATTCCAATTTACAAACAATATTTTCATATTTTCATTTCAGCGGTTTCGTTCAAAAGCGCAAGGCCTGAACAACAATTTACGAAACAGTTTTTTTGACTTACTGAAAACACTAAGAGAGGTCAAAGCGCCATTGGCCCATTTTTATGGTAAAACACAATTTCCCAAACACCCCTGTTGAGGTTTATTCCTTCAACCCTCGGGTCCAACACGTAAGCCCAAGGATTTCGAGTGGAGTGTGTGTGAATATTTAGCCCAACAAGCAGATGATATGGATCAAATAGAACAATAAGTAGCAAGTAGTGATTAGGTATTATTATCTCTTAATAACTCCCTAATACAATACTTTTTGCTAAGGCTCCGTCGGCCGTTCGTCTTACAAGGCAGTAGAAATGCTGCGAGTAAGAATGCTATAGCTAAAGTGCTAAGAATAGAAAGTTGCCAACCCTTTACAATGAAATAAATGCTTCTATTTATACCCACCAATGGGCAGGTGGCTACACTGACGTGGAAGCCTGTGGTCCGCTGGTGCCTCAACCACCAAATCTTCAGCATTAAATGCGCTTCCCGCCAGAATCTAGGCTTCCAGCCTAATTAGTGGGGACGTTCGTCCGCCCGGGGAGCAAGCTGGATCGCTCTAGGTGGCCTCCAAGGGGTATCAGCTGTTCGTCCCTTGGCCCTTGGTGGATTCTCGCCATGTGGACTGGACTGCCTCCGATGGCTATGGGCTTGCTCTGACGACGTTCGTCGTCATTCTGGTGACCCGTGGTCCTACTCCTTGTCCCCGCATAGACGCTCGTCGAGATGGGCCGTTGAACCTGAGTCCCAACTGCAGACGTTCGTCTCCCCTGGGGGTTGTGGGCTTGTCCGGCTAGCTGTGTGCTCTCTGGACGTGCGTCCGGAAGAAAGGGTAAATGGGCCGAACCTCAACTTGGGCCATTAACCCAACACAAGTCCCCCACTTCTGATGTTCTGAGCATGCACAGGACATAAGGAAGTATAATCTCCCTTGATGGTAAGACGCCCGTGAACTGGTACTTGTGTTTATTGCATCCATTTGAAAGCGTACGTTCGTGGTCTCTTACTTCATTACTTTTCTTTTCTTTATCGTCTGTTGTGTGGAATCTCCTTCGGCGTCTCGCTATACTTTTGACGTAAAGTTAGTCTGCGGGGACGTTCATATCTGTCCCTCATTTTGTTTAGGGCAACGGGCATCCCCTTGCCATGTCCCCGCACGTACTCGAATGTGCGGACGTATCGCGAGAGTTCGTCTACGGGCGCCGATGCTTGCTTGCCGCTTGGCAACAGTATTCTGACAGCGACGTCCATCTTACAAGTGCGAGCATATCACCGACCGCTGTCTGTGGTCAATTCTAATGCCGTAAGACGACGTTCGTCGGTGGTTGCCCCCCTGGTCAGTAGCAAATCTCTTAAATATGGAGATATGAACGTACTTCCCAGGGCCAGCACTTGATTGAGACGTTCGTCTGTCATATGTGTAAACGCAAATATCCATGCTGTGCGTGCTCTACCCAAGCTTCGTAGGGAGACGCTCGTCTGGTCTAAATGTTCCCGTGGTGCGAAGTATGGAAAGACGGACGTAGCCCGTTGACGCGTATGCCTCCCATTAGCTGCCTATATTAGGCGTAGCCGATGGTCGCGATCTCTGGGCGTCTCTAGATCCTTCGGAGCTGTTAACCCCCCTGGCGGGACGTTCGTGGCATCGATCCGGGTCCCCTTGCCGTGGTTATGTGGCGACGAAATCGAGGCATCTTAAATACCGTGGTGGGTACCGGTAGCTGGGTGCCACGTGTTCCACTTCGGTTGGTGGGATCCCACGGTGCTGTCTATAAGTACCCAGAAACCATGTGATTCATTCACACTTCTCCTTACGCTGCGCGATTGCTTCCTCTCTCTAGATTTCCTTCAAGCCGTGTCGAATCTCGCACTTCCAAGGTACCGTTCGTTGTCATGTCTTCTGAAACCCGCTTCGACGATGGCTGTTCTTCTGGCGATGACTTAGAATACTATGAGCGGGGAATGCCGCCTCGGCCTCCCCGTTACAGCCTTAGCTTCTCGTGCGTCCGGCGTCAAAACCAACGCCTGACGAATGCTGACAAGCGTCTGATCGGCCAGTGGTTTTATCCCCCAAGGACCTACGATGATCGGCGCCTGCGCAACCCCATGCGCCATCTGCCCGGCTATGTGGTGGTCCACCTGGACTCGGTGATAGCCGGGCTGAACTTCCCCTTGCACAGCTTCCACTTGGAGCTCTTCAGAAACCTTGAGATAGCGCCTGCGCAGTTCGTCCCTGCCGCCTATAGGATTATTGCCGGCTTCATCATTAGATGCCATAGCGTCGGTGTGACCCCCACCGTGGACCTGCTACACCACTTCTTCCGGTTGTCCCCCTTCGGACGTACGGGGTACTTGACCCTGATCGCGCGTCCGTCCATGGTCCTGTTTTCGAACAATGCCGGGAATCCGGACGGCTGGGAAGAACGCTTCTTTCTGGCCGGAGTAGGCTCCCCGATGCCATTCTCTGACCGGTGGAATGCCTATCCGGTGAAGACGATTCCGCCGCCCATGACGGACGAGGAGCTCGGGTATGCCAGGCGCATAGCTGGACTCAGCATCCAGAACCTCCGGTTGCTGGTGGCCGAGCCCTTTAAAGCTCGGGCTGGGTTAGGTGCGTCCGTTTGTACTTGTATTGTTTTATCATCTCTTCGCTGTTATGGCTCTGAACGTCTTGGTTCTTTTTGTGCAGGAGTTTTCCCATCTTCGGCCACCATGGGTCGTACCAACAACACTTCGACTGCCGCTGGCCGTGAGCACAAGGGTCACGACAAGCTCGAGAAGCCGCTCGTCCCCCAAGGTCGAACCTCGGGTGACCAGGGCACGGGCCGATGACACTTCGGGGGCCGGCGCTTCCAAGAGGCCACGTGTCGAGGGTACTGCTTCCAAGGCCATCATAGTGGCCGATGACTCTGATGGTGAGCCCCGGGAGTCCCCTCAAGCGGAAACCCATTCCCCGGAATAAGTCCCACGTTTCTCCTCCGCGGAATTCTGACGTTCGCCGCCTCCGAGATGAGGATGTCTCTGACGACGGTCGTCCTTTTGTGCCCTCAGAAACCAATGGGTCCTCCCTTGGTCTGATTGAATTTTCCGGGGTTGGTCCCCGCAAGGAGTCGATGATGCTCTTTGGCCAGACAGCATCCTCTATCTGGTGTGGCCTGAATCTCAAAGTTCCTCAGGACTTCGCCGCTCAGGAAGCCCCTGAAGATCTTTTGGAGTGTGGTCAGAGCACTCTGGATAAGGCCTGGCTCTATTTCCACAGGGCTCGGATGGCTTTTGAGCATCAGGGTAGGGAGATGGCCAGAGTACGGGCTGAATGTGATGCCCTTCTGAGGAATGCAAAAGGCAGGGCTGGAACTCTTTAAGAGAAAGCCGACGCCTATGACAAGCTTGTCCAGGAGAATGCTTCCCACAAAGAGCTCCTCAAGAAACAGGAGGCCGAGCTTGTGGACCTTCGCAGCCGGATGTGGGCCGTAGAGCAGGCCAAGGTGGAACTCCGCCGCACGGGCGTGGACAATCATGTCCCCATCTACGAGGCCGATGTTGCCAAGATTAAGGAGTCTGGTTCCATAGAGTTCCAGAAATCCAAGGCTTATACTGGCGCCATTCATACTATGGCCATGAAGTTCCTCCCGAGGCTCGTCGGTGAGTTTTTGGCCACCTGCCCGGATGCCTATCTGGATGGGGTTAAGTTGCTCCAAGCCACCCCCACCGGACGGCGTTTCCTTGATGATCTCGCCGATGATACCTACCGTAAGGGCATGGTTGGGCTAGTAGCAGAGAATCTCCCGACGTTTCGAGCGTCACTTCGGGGCTCCTTTCGACCCGGAAGCGGCTGGCTTTGATCTGCTGATGGTGGACGCTCATGCGGGGGCACTTGAGCTGCTGAAGGAGCTTGGGGAGCAGGAGGCGGCCAAAGCCAGGGAAAAGGCCAAGCAGACTCTTTTCAAGGCTCCAACTCCGGACGTCGATCAACAGTGATTCTCCGTTCATTGTCTTGTACGTGTACCAATTTTTTCATTATTTACATTGTACCTTACACATTGTAACTTTCCGGTCATCAGTACCGAAGAATAAAAATCATTGTTTGCTCCATGTTCGTCTAGCATATCTTGCCTCTTTTTTTTTTTTTGGAGTCTTTTATCAGTCTTTGTTCTTCCCATGCTTCGTGATTACTTGTCTCCTGGTTTCGCAGGAGACGTTCGTCATCCCCACTCTGAGAAGAAGCAGGTTTATCCACGTCGGGATTCCCTATCTCTGTCCGTCCCCAGTCGTGAGTTACTAGTCTTCTGGCTTCGCAGAAGACGTTCGTCATTCGTCCAACAAGAGGGAGGAACTAGGCTTCGTTCGTCCTTGTCGGGACCCTACTAACCTTCTTACTTCGAAGAAGACGTTCGGTATTCACCGATCGCAAGGAGGTCACTGGTATACCCTATCGCGGGTTCCCTGCTTCGTCGTCCCATGCTCGTGGCCCTACTAACCTTCTGCTCTGGTAGAAGGTGTTCGTCGATCCACGGGAAATGGGAGGAACTGGTTTATCTTGCCGAGGTTCCCTTTGGTACGTCTAGCCCCCCCCCCCCCCCCCCCCCCCCACGTTCCTACTAACCTCCGCGTCGGGAGACGTTCGTCATACGCGGTGAAAGAAGATCTGGCATACCTCGTCAAGACTCCCTCTCTCATAGGAGTTGTATCACCCCTTCTCCTCTTTTTTTTTTTTTTTTTTTTTGAGGAGGAAATCATTTCAATAGCACTTCGGCTTTCAATAGCACTTCGGCTTTCAATGGCACTTCAGCTTTTAATAGCACTTCGGCTTTTAATCTCTCTGTAGGGGGCGAAATACAGGAAGGAATCCTTTTATTGTAGAAAGGACGATTGGTAGTGTTACATGGTGCTTCGACCAATTATGACAAAAAACGATCTATCTCTAACTATTGGTAGAATTTCTTCAAGTGTTCGACGTTCCAGATTCCAGCGTGGTTCCCCTCCAAGGTATGGAGGAGGAACGTCCCCTGGTTATATCTTCTCATGACCCTGTACGGCCCTTCCCAATTTTTGGCCATCTTGCCATCCTCGAGCGGTCTGCTCTTTTCTCTCTTTCTGAGTACAAGGTCCCTAGCTTCAATTTCGCGGATCTTCACCGCCTTGTTGAAATATCTTTGGGTGGCTCGGTGATATTCCTCCATGCGGCGATCTGCTAGGTCCCTTCGTTCCTCGATGAAATGGAGCTCCGCTCGTAGGTTGGCCTCGTTGTCCTCCGGCTGGAAATGCTTTGTGCGATGTGTGGGCACTAGCACCTCCGTTGGCACCTTGGCCTGGAATCCGTATGTTAATGCAAAAGGTGTCTCGCCGGTCGCCGTCCTTGGGGTCGTCCTGTACGTCCAGAGTACGTAATTGAGATGCTCTGGCCAGGTGGACGCGTAATCTTCTAATTTCTTTTTTATCCCATCCATGATGGTCCGATTCATGTTCTCCACCTGGCCGTTGGCCTGCGGGTAGGCCACCGAGGCCTTAGAGTGCCTGATGCCCCACTTCGCCAAGTATGCCTCAAATCCTCTGCCGACGAACTGCCGGCCGTTGTCGGTGACGACCTGCTCCGGAATCCCGAAGCGGCATATGACATTCTGCCAGAGGAACCTCTGGCATTGATACTCGGTGATGGAGGCAAGCGGCTCGGCTTCTACCCACTTTGTGAAGTAGTCAATCGCCACAATGACAAACTTACTTCCGACAGTCGTCGTCAGGAGAGGGCCCAACAGGTCCATGCCCCACCTAGCGAAAGGTAATGCAACCGTCATCGGAGTGTAGAAACTTGCAGGCCGTCCAGGGACAGGAGCATACTGCTGGCACACTGCACATTTCCGAGTGTGATTGAAACAATCCTGCTGGATGGTCGGCCAGTAGTACCCCTGCAAGATGATTTTCCGGGCCAAAGTACGAGGACCCTGGTGGCTGGAGCAGATGCCTTCATGTATCTCTTCAATAACGGCCGCTGCTAAGCTCGGCGGGAGGCATCTCAAGTATGGCCCGCCGAACGTCTTCTTATAGAGTTGTCCATCAATGAGCTCGAAATTGGGGGCACGTCTTTTCACTCAGGCTGCCCTTCCGGTGCTGCCATCATCTTCTGGCTCGGGGAGCGTCCCATCCCTGAGGTAGTCGGCGATTTCCTTCGACCAATTAGGTTCGGCGATGGAGATGGCCTCCACTTGGATGACGTCCGTCGCCGGTGCCGGGAGTGTCTCTTGCCTGACGAAGCCCCTAATGTGTCGGGGGATGCTCGTCGCGGGGTCGTCGGTCGGGGGATTGCCTAGCTTGGATAATATGTCAGCCTCGGCGTTCTCCACCCGCGATACCTGCTCGATTACCACCTGTTCGAACTGCGCGGTTTGTTCCTCCGCGAGTTCCTTGTAAACCTTCATTCTCTCTTCCCTGGTTTCGGTCGTCCCGTTCATCTGGGTAACCACCAGCTGGCTGTCCATCCTCACCTTCAGACGAGCTGCTCCGAGTGCTTTTGCGCACTTCAGCCCTGCAATCAGCGCCTCGTACTCAGCCTCGTTGTTGGTGACTTTGAACTCGAATTTCATGGAGTAATAGGCCTTGAAACCCTCCGGTGAAGTGATCACTGCTCCTCCGCCACAACCTTTCGCACTCGAGGCCCCATCGGTGTACATCTCCCACCAGTTGTTGAAATCTTCGTTGCCTTGGGGATCATCCTCGGTGCGCGCAGTACATTCGGCAATGAAATCTGCCAGTGCCTGCCCTTGGATCGTCGGCCTCGGTTTGAACTCTATGTTGTATGATAAGTCCGTATTTAGACACGCATTTGATGCGTGTTGGGATCGGCTTTTGATGGTTTTCCTAGCTTTAAGGTGTTACAAGTCTCAATTTTAGCTCAAGTTATGTTTAACAGGCGTTGGTTCGAGTTTTGTGTCATTTGGAGTCAAAATCAGGATTTTAGAGTTCAACATAGGCACTTGAGGAGCAATCGGGATGATTCGAGATGCATTTGAGTGTTGATTTGATAGCTTTGGAGGTCACCGGAAGATTCACGATGAAGATTTGAAGGAAAAAAAGCTTTATGATTGGCTTAGGGATCAAAAGAAGATGAATGAAGCTTGAAAACGACGATCAGAATGACCTTATGTCAATCGTTCAAGCTTATCTCTTTGTAGGAACAACCAATGGACACGATTCAAGTTGCATAGGAAAGCCAACTTCAAGGGATACAAATCATATGAAGACACCTTTGCGAGAATCTGAGGGGAAGAAGGTGAAAACAGACGATGAAGTCAGATGATCTCTGCTGCGATTTCAGAAAGACACCTTCCACCGTTTTGATCATATCTCTTGATTGGATGATTCAAATCACATTCAGCAAATTGGGGTGGATAGAGGACTTCATTATCTACCACTTTCATGAAGAAAGTTTTGTCAAATTCGGAAGTTTTACGCACGCCGTGCGTAGGGGAACGCACGACCGTGCGTCTGAGGCGAGAAAAGCAAGGAAGACACTGCCAGCTACGCACGGCCGTGCGTAGGGGGGACGCACGCAGTGTGTAGCTCCGGGTTACGCGAAATTGAATCCCAAAATCGGCCAGAATTCATATTTTTCCCCCTTTTTCTATAAATAAGGCCTCCCTAACCCTTTTTAAGCGTTACGAACATTACGGAGAGGCCTAGGGACGAATTTAACAACGTTTTTATGCTATTTTCTTCCAAGATCCTGGGATTATTTGTAAGTTCATCTTTTTAATTAATGACAATTTATTCTATTCATCTCAATTCTGTTGATTCTTCAATTATGAATTGTGAGTAGTTTAATTAGGGATTTGAGGTTGATGAAGGGGTTAATCATGATGTATGGCTAGATTCTTGTCGGTTTAATTGCATGAATGCCGTTTAATTTGTGTTTGAATAATTTAATTGATATCTCTTGTAACCTAGACTGCAGCTAGAATTACAATTGCATGTAGAATGAATTAAGAGAGATCTAATTTGTTCTAGGACACATTCACACACACTTAATCGTTTGCTAAGAGATTAGTAGCGATTAAGGGGCCGTAAGCTCGTTCGTTTTGGAAATAATTTAGGATCTTGTCGCATGAGAGAACAGCCTGGACCCCTAAATTATTGTACTCTACGCCGCGAGAGCGGTAAGAACTTAGTAATGATTATCTAGGCTCAATTAAATTAAATTCATGTAATTAGGCCGGATCTGCCAGAAATCAGGTTACCCCGGAATCAATCCCTGTTCCCTTCGTCGTTAATTGAGAAGAAACCAATCTTTTATTTTTATCGCTCATTAGCATTAGTTTTAATTTTAATTCAACCAACCAATCTCGCACATCGCATTTTAATTTATTTATTTCTGTTTAATCGCTGAATTTAGTTAATCTTTAATTCCCTTTTGTCCGTCCCTGTGGAGACGATACTTGTACTTTCAACCACTTTTCTACAACTATTTTAAGTGCGAGAAAACACACATCAGTTTTTGGCGCCGTTGCCGGGGACGGTGTCGGTTTTAAGGGTTAATTAATTTCAGCGAGATTTTTTTTTAGTTAATTTTCTTTTTGTTCTTCGTAGGATTTTTCTGGGCTAACCTTTCAGGTATTTTTCCAAGAGGCATGAGATGAACCCATTCAGCCGAATTCCTGAAGGAATTCCTTACCCTCAAACCTCCATGGAATATTCACCATATACGCCATACCCTCCTTACACTCCTCTTCTTCAAAATTACACACCTCATCAAAATTACTCTCCTACACCACAAAATATTCAGCCTTCTTATCCGTACACTCCAACCACGCAACCCTTTCATTCTGATTTTTACTATCCTTCATCACATTACCCTTGGGTAAGCGTAAGACGAGGCTCCATTCTTGAATTTATGCTTCTAAATAAAACGCCTGAGGAAATATCTGAATGTTTTAAGAATATCATTTGTTCCTTCTGTGGAGGAGATCATCATGTATGTCTTTGCCCCATCAAACCTCTATATGACCATCCTTTCCGGGAAACTGCTTACCCCACTTCTTCCTCCCCAACATTTACGAACACAAATGTTTCAGTCACTCCTACGTCTTTGCCGAGCTATGAGCCACAGGATGAAGTGGAAGAGATAATTTCAGAGAAGCTGTCTGACCTGGAAGAAACACTCAGGCAAGTCATGCAAGCAACTGAGGTGTGCATGGCAATTCAACAGCAATCAAACACAAGGATGCAGAACATGGAGAATCAATTGGGGCAGATTATAAAGGCTTTATCTGAGGAGTCCGAGAGACTTCATCCTGGAGACACAGAAGCCCAACCTGAGGAGACCAATAGGGATGATCATGTGAGTGAGTCGGACTGCGAAGGGGGGAATATGACGGATGATACACTTCCTGATGTTTTTGAAGACCCTGATGAGAACGCTGTTAACGAAAGTTGGGATGCCTTCATGGGGAGTGATACAGAGTCCAGAGGAGAGGTTGTGAATGTTCATGATATCTGTGAGGAAGAAGAAGACTTTTCTATGGTGCAGTTTGATTACGGTGTTGCTCCTACTCCTTGCTTTGAGACATCTTTTGAGCTTCCGGTGATACCTAGAGTAATCAAAGTTTTGACTCATGTTTTCTGTCCACCTGAAGAGGATGAGAGTTTCATACTTCACTTCTGTGCTGATGAGGGATATGAAGACCATGTGCTGCATTCGTGGGCTGACGAATTTAAAGATATGCGCCACCTAATGACATTTGTTGAGAGGAAGCTGGAGACGTTGACTATAAGTGCACCACTACAGTCTTTGCTATTGGAGAGCCTATGGGGTAGTATCGTCGGGCACACGACGTTAAAAATAGCGCTTCTCGGGAGGCAACCCGAGCTTAATTCTGCTTTTGTTTTTGCTTTTGCTTTGTTTGTTGTTTGGTTGTTTTGCTTTGTGTTTTTGTTGCAGCTCAGGGTCTTGTGGTATGGATGATGTGCCGAGGATTACATTGACTCAGTTTAGTTCTGCACCGACCAGCGCCTTAGGGAAGTTTTTATGACTCTAATAATCGCCTGTTTGTAATAATTGACTTGAGTTAAGTTGAGCACGCGTGACCCTTTCCTCTTTACCCCCTTGTGCATAGTGCATTTTTGGTCATCAAGGGCGATGCCAAAGTTTAAGTGTGGGGGAGTGAATTGGGCATTCGGGCAGTAGTTGTTACATGTGATAATTAGAGTTAGCATGTGCATGTGTTAGTTGTATATTCATAGGAAAAGTCGTGTCAAAATTTGTGAAAATTTTTCTTTAAACTGTGTCTTTGTGAACTGGCTAGCGTTTTGACTATGCTTTTACAACATCTTTGAAGTGTTTAGGCTTAATTTGCTTGCATGATAACTTAGTTGTTGAGAGGATGAAGGCATTAGTCACCCATTGAATTAATTCATAAATCATCCACCCCACCTGAAAAAATCCTTTAGGAGAAGCCACTTTGAGCCTGACCGTTTATTGTTTACCCAATTAATTGAACTTCATAGCCAAATGGCCTGTGTTTCCTTACCCGTGAATATTTCTGACTTAGTCTTGATGTTTAGGGAACTAGGGGATTAATTTGCTAAGTTTAGGGAATTTGTGTAGGAGTCATTTTTGGCACTGTTCCTATGCCCCAAATGGGGTAAGAGCAGTCACTTTTTAGTAATTTGATATTTTCGAGGATTGCATTGTAGGCATGGATTCACTTTAAATTAATGAACTTTAATTGTTATTTTTCCTTGGTGAGGCCGAGATTAGAATGGGGTAATGTCTAGTGAGAATCCGAAAGGTGAAAAATTATTATAGCTAGACCTCTTACTTTGCGAAAAAGAGAATGTGAGCCCCTGTCAAAAAGCGTAAGATGAGACTCGGGTATCTTTCGAAAGAAACGGCGTTCTCGTGCCAACATGACAAGGGAAACTAAACTTAATTAATGAACTTGGAAGCTATTTAAAATTTAGCTTTAGTCCTCCGCGTACTTCAAGTATACGTCAAAGCACAAATGTGCCGAGACGGTTTAGCTTAGTTGTACACCATGTCTACTCTTTGCATAAGTTTAAATGATTTTTCCTAAATTGTGGCCTACTAAGTTCTTTGTTCCTAAGAATAGCCCCGAAATACCTGAATGCATCAAGTCTTTGTTAGGATGTTCCAAACTCTCAAGAAAGGAACTGTTTATCCTTACCATTCACCCTTCACCACCATTTTCACAAGTCCTTCTGATCGGTAGCTAGTTTATTTGTGTGTGCTGTCACTACTTTGAGGATGTTGTGAATAATTTTGTCAAATATTTTAGCTAGAGTACAAAGATGTAGTTTAGGGAAGAATTTTCTTGGTTTAGATTGTTTGTCCTGTGAATATCCCTTTAACTACGTGTGCATGCTAACTGTTTTAAATTCCGTGTGGTGATTATTGTAAGTCCCGTTGTTTAGTTTGCTTGAGAACAAGCAAAGGCTTAAGTGTGGGGGAATCTGATAAGTCCGTATTTAGACACGCATTTGATGCGTGTTGGGATCGGCTTTTGATGGTTTTCCTAGCTTTAAGGTGTTACAAGTCTCAATTTTAGCTCAAGTTATGTTTAACAGGCGTTGGTTCGAGTTTTGTGTCATTTGGAGTCAAAATCAGGATTTTAGAGTTCAACATAGGCACTTGAGGAGCAATCGGGATGATTCGAGATGCATTTGAGTGTTGATTTGATAGCTTTGGAGGTCACCGGAAGATTCACGATGAAGATTTGAAGGAAAAAAAGCTTTATGATTGGCTTAGGGATCAAAAGAAGATGAATGAAGCTTGAAAACGACGATCAGAATGACCTTATGTCAATCGTTCAAGCTTATCTCTTTGTAGGAACAACCAATGGACACGATTCAAGTTGCATAGGAAAGCCAACTTCAAGGGATACAAATCATATGAAGACACCTTTGCGAGAATCTGAGGGGAAGAAGGTGAAAACAGACGATGAAGTCAGATGATCTCTGCTGCGATTTCAGAAAGACACCTTCCACCGTTTTGATCATATCTCTTGATTGGATGATTCAAATCACATTCAGCAAATTGGGGTGGATAGAGGACTTCATTATCTACCACTTTCATGAAGAAAGTTTTGTCAAATTCGGAAGTTTTACGCACGCCGTGCGTAGGGGAACGCACGACCGTGCGTCTGAGGCGAGAAAAGCAAGGAAGACACTGCCAGCTACGCACGGCCGTGCGTAGGGGGGACGCACGCAGTGTGTAGCTCCGGGTTACGCGAAATTGAATCCCAAATCGGCCAGAATTCATATTTTTCCCCCTTTTTCTATAAATAAGGCCTCCCTAACCCTTTTTAAGCGTTACGAACATTACGGAGAGGCCTAGGGACGAATTTAACAACGTTTTTACGCTATTTTCTTCCAAGACCCTGGGATTATTTGTAAGTTCATCTTTTTAATTAATGACAATTTATTCTATTCATCTCAATTCTGTTGATTCTTCAATTATGAATTGTGAGTAGTTTAATTAGGGAATTGAGGTTGATGAAGGGGTTAATCATGATGTATGGCTAGATTCTTGTCGGTTTAATTGCATGAATGCCGTTTAATTTGTGTTTGAATAATTTAATTGATATCTCTTGTAACCTAGACTGCAGCTAGAATTACAATTGCATGTAGAATGAATTAAGAGAGATCTAATTTGTTCTAGGACACATTCACACACACTTAATCGTTCGCTAAGAGATTAGTAGCGATTAAGGGGCCGTAAGCTCGTTCGTTTTGGAAATAATTTAGGATCTTGTCGCATGAGAGATCAGCCTGGACCCCTAAATTATTGTACTCTACGCCGCGAGAGCGGTAAGAACTTAGTAATGATTATCTAGGCTCAATTAAATTAAATTCATGTAATTAGGCCGGATCTGCCAGAAATCAGGTTACCCCGGAATCAATCCCTGTTCCCTTCGTCGTTAATTGAGAAGAAACCAATCTTTTATTTTTATCGCTCATTAGCATTAGTTTTAATTTTAATTCAACCAACCAATCTCGCACATCGCATTTTAATTTATTTATTTCTGTTTAATCGCTGAATTTAGTTAATCTTTAATTCCCTTTTGTCCGTCCCTGTGGAGACGATACTCGTACTTTCAACCACTTTTCTACAACTATTTTAAGTGCGAGAAAACACACATCATTGTACTGGCCGATCATCAGGGACCATTTGGTTATCCTCCCGCTGGCCATGGGATTCCTGAGGATCGTGGCGAGAGGTTGTGTTGTGTATACCGTCACTGGGTGTGCTTGGAAATATGGTGCCAGGCGTTTGATGGATGCTATCAAGGCGAGGACCGTCTTCTCCATCAGTGTGTATCTGGTTTCTGGGCCGTTCAGCGCCTTGCTCACAAAATAGATTGGCCGCTGAACGCCTTCTGCCTCTTTTAGTAGCACAGCACTTACAGCCAAGTCTGCCACCGCCAGATACATGTACAGCTGCTCCCCCGGGTCCGCTTTGGTGAGGACGAGCGGAGAGGAGAGGTATACCTTGAAATCCTCAAAGGCAGCCTGGCAGTCCGGTGTCCACTCAAACGGATTCGCCTTTTTCATGATCTGGAAGAAAGGGATCGCCTTGTCTGCTAGTTTTGACATAAATCGGCTCAGGGCTGCCAGCCGACCGCTGAGCCGCTGTACGTCCTTCAGATTCCTCGGGGCTTCCATGTCAACTATTGCCTTCACCTTCTCCGGGTTAGGCTCGATCCCTCGTTCGCTCATCATGTAGCCAAGGAATTTGCCGCCCCTGACGGCAAAGGCACATTTCTTTGGATTGAGCCTCATGCTAGCCCCTTCCATGATGGTGAAGATCCTTTCCATATCACGGATGTGGTCCTCCTTCTTCTTGCTCTTGATCAGGATGTCATCCACGTAAGCCTCCATGGTTTTGCCCAGTACGTCTTTGAACAACATCCCGATCATCCTCTGGAAAGTAGCCATGGCGTTCCTCAGGCCGAACGGCATGACCACGTAACAGTACACGCCGTCTGCCGTGACGAACGCCGTTTTCTCTGCATCATCTGGGTGCATGAACACCTGATGATATCCTCTGAATGCATCCATGAAGCTGAGCAGCTCGCAGCCTGCCGTTTCGTCTACGAGCAAGTCGATCCTCGGCACTGGATATGGGTCCATCGGACAGGCCTTGTTGAGGTCCGAGTAGTCGACGCACATCCGCCACGTGTCGCCTTTTGGGGCTAACACCACATTGGCCAACCACTCCACGTGGATGACCGGCCGAATGTGCCTAATGCTGAGGAGCGTAGTAGCCTCCTTTTTTATGAAATCTCGCCGGTCAGCCGCCATGTATCTCTTCTTCTGTTGGACGGGTTTGGCATCCGGCCGCACGGCGAGTCTGTGACATATGAGGTTGGGGTCAATGCCTGGCATGTCCTCCGGCCCTCTGGCAAATAGGATCTTGAATTTCTGGAGGATGGCTATGACCCCTTCCTTGATCTCGGGCTCAAGGTCAGCGCCTATGGACACCTTCCTGTCCGAAGGATCATCCAGCTCCACCTCCTCGAGCAGGGCAACCGGTTCCAGATGAGCGTCAAAGTCGGTTTGTCTGGCCTTCTCAGTGATGCTGTTGACCCGGGCCTCTCGCTCGCTGAACCTCTCCATGGCCTTGGTGTAGCAGGCCCTGGCCATGTGCGGGTCCGTGCGGGCCACTCCCACTCCAGTCTCGGTGGGGAATTTGATGCATGAGTGCCGCACGGAGCATATGGCCTCAAGATCTTCCAAGCCGGGCCGGCCCAAAATTGCGTTGTGAGCGCACTTCAGGCGGACCACGACGAACGTCATCTGGATGCGGGTGGTGTGAGGTCCATCCCCGATCTCCACGGGGAGGCCGATGGTGCCTTTTGCGTCAATGCAATCCCCGGTGAAGCCAGAAAGAGGGGTGCGCAGGGGGGCCAGCTGATCCTTCCTCAGCTTCATCCCTTCGAACGCCTCCTAGTAGAGGACGTTCACGCTGCTCCCAGTATCAACAAGGATGCGTCGGACGATCGCGTTGTTGATATCCATGCTGATCACCAACTCATCCCTGTGCGGGGCCGGTGACATTGGTAGGTCAGCCGGTCCAAAGGTGATGGCCTCCATTTTGTTCCTTTGGGGGGAGCTGATATGGAGCCCACATAGAGGGACCTCTCGAACTTCTTCCGCTCAGCAGGTGTGTCCCCAGTCTCAGCACCCCCGAAGATCACCTTGATCTCCAACTTCTTCTTCCCGCCGTCCGGGCCGAGGGACCCCTCCGGACGTTTATCGGCACTCCGATAATCTACGTCTTTTGGTTCGGCCTCGTGCCGGTCGTCGCGGCGCCAAGACCGTGATCTTGGATTCGACTGTCTTGGGCTATTCTTCTTCAGTAGCTGGGTGAACTCGCCCAGGTAGCCTTGTCGGACCAGCTCGTCGATAGCCCTCCTCAGTTGTTTGCAATTGTCGGTGAGGTGGCCGACCCTCTGGTGGTATTTGCAGTATGCGGTCTCATCAAGACTCATACGCGCCTTCTTGTCTTGGGGCTCCCTTAGGAGGCCCTTGTCTTTGATGGCATCAAAGACCTGGCCGACGGGGTAGGCTAAGGGAACGTGGTAATCCCCTGGATGCACGGTGCTTGCCTCAGGGTGGGCCTTCCAAGGGATCATGCCGCCGTCCGTCTTTTTCTTCTTGTTTGGGGGGGATGGTCCGCCTCCGGGGCCGAGCCTATCCGCCAATTTCCGGGAATGGGCCGCAGGTGCGCCGTCCCTCAATATGATCTCCTCCTCAATGGAGGCATACTTCTGTGCCCGAGCCAGCACCTCGGTGTAGCTGGTGCTGGGGTTCCTCCGGAGGTCCCGGTATAAGTCCCCCGTTGCTAGAGCGCTGGTGAACATGTTCACTCCCAGCCGCTCGTCCAGGTCGTCTACCTGGAGCACTTCGTCTCTCCATCTGACCAGAAATTTGGCCAGAGGTTCGTCCTTCCCCTGCTTCACACTGGTGAGCGATGTGAAGCTCTTCTTGGGGGTGGTGCTGGCAGCGAATTGTGCCATGAACTGCTGGGACAGCTGTTCGTAGTTGTCAATATATCCGGGCCTCAGCTGCCCGAACCATTCCTGCGCCGGGCCCCTCAGGGTGCTGAAGAAAAGCCGGCAGATGGCCTCATCGGATGCTCCCAGCATGGAGAGGTTCCCCTGGAAGCTGATCAAGTGGGCCTTGAGATCTCCGGTCCCATTGTATACTATCCCTCCGGGGGGTCTGCAGTCCCGCGGGATCTCTGCGTTCATGACCCTCGGAGTAAATGGCGAGGTGAGGGAGAAACGAGGCGTAGCTGGGGTGGCCTCCGCCCGTCTATCCATTTCGGCTATTCGCCGTTCCATTGCCTCTAGCCGGGCCTCCTGTGCGGCCCTTCCAGGGGACACAGGAGGGGCGGCCTCGAGCGCAATGTTCCTTCGTGGGGCAACCGCGTCGGGTTGCCTTCGGGTGATATGGGCACCACGCCTTTGGAAACGTCGTCCAATATTACTGGCAGCGGGGGTAATGGCCGTGTCCTGACGTTCTGAGGGAACATCCGGCGTGCGCCCCCGATGATCGTCCTGCCAACCATAACGTGGGGTACTGGCGCTGGTGTGCCCCCCAGCCCCGTGGGAGGACGGATTTTGGCCCAACCTCATGTGGATGGGCGTCCGACGCCCGGCAGATTCCGTTGTCTCGTCCAGGGACTGCATGTGGTGGATGGGTGATATGGGCGTCCAGATGGTGTTAGCTGAGTACACCTCTTCGTTCACCTCCTGTTCGTCCGCCATTCGGACCATTGTTTCCGCCAGCTCCCTCATGAGTCGGGAGTCGCGTCTGGCCTCGTGGGGGATGAGGTTGGTGAGGCCACCTTCATCCCCAGTTGTTCCCAACGTCTCGGAACGTTCCGTGGTTTGCCCGCAGTTGCCTCGCCCGCGGGACAGCTGCTCGGAGAGGTCACGTTGTCGATTGTTCCTTGTCATCGTGCTTGCTGTAGGTAGGTTTAGTAGCTGTTTGGGAGAGTTTTGGAAACTTTTTGTTCAGTTCCCACAGACGGCGCCAGTGTTGAGGTTTATTCCTTCAACCCTCGGGTCCAACACGTAAGCCCAAGGATTTCGAGTGGAGTGTGTGTGAATATCTAGCCCAACAAGCAGATGATATGGATCAAATAGAACAATAAGTAGCAAGTAGTGATTAGGTATTATTATCTCTTAATAACTCCCTAATACAATACTTTTTGCTAAGGCTCCGTCGGCCGTTCGTCTTACAAGGCAGTAGAAATGCTGCGAGTAAGAATGCTATAGCTAAAGTGCTAAGAATAGAAAGTTGCCAACCCTTTACAATGAAATAAATGCTTCTATTTATACCCACCAATGGGCAGGTGGCTACACTGACGTGGAAGCCTGTGGTCCGCTGGTGTCTCAACCACCAAATCTTCAGCATTAAATGCGCTTCCCGCCAGAATCTAGGCTTCCCGCCTAATTAGTGGGGACGTTCGTCCGCCCGGGGAGCGAGCTGGATCGCTCCAGGTGGCCTCCAAGGGGTATCAGCTGTTCGTCCCTTGGCCCTTGGTGGATTCTCGCCATGTGGACTGGACTGCCTCCGATGGCTATGGGCTTGCTCTGACGACGTTCGTCGTCATTCTGGTGACCCGTGGTCCTACTCCTTGTCCCCGCATAGACGCTCGTCGAGATGGGCCGTTGAACCTGAGTCCCAACTGCAGACGTTCGTCTCCCCTGGGGGTTGTGGGCTTGTCCGGCTAGCTGTGTGCTCTCTGGACGTGCGTCCGGAAGAAAGGGTAAATGGGCCGAACCTCAACTTGGGCCATTAACCCAACAACCCCCTTAATCATGTTTTTCACTTTGTTCAATTTTGATACTTTATTCATGTTTCTAAACCATTAATAGTCCTTCTGTCCAATTTTCTGGCGATTTTAACCATCTAAAATATGATTGAAGGATCATAAATAGGCCAAAAATGATAGTCATGTAGTAATAGTAGTCAAAATTAGAGACGTGAACTAATTGTACAATTAATTTAATACTCATTTTCAATCCCAAATGAAATATAAATATCTGAAAAATTGTCGATTTTCTTTATATTGTGATAGTATGATAAAATCAATA